GGTTCCTGGTACCGGAGAAAAACCAAAAAAAAAAAAAAAAAAAAAACAAGATAGAGCATTGGGCTGCAGAGGAAGCTCAGTTGTACAGTGCCTGACATGCACCTCAACACCACTAAACTAACTACCTTTGCACTTTGAAAAGGAAATCTGAGGAAGCTCTTCTCAGAGCCAGGCTGAATCATTGCAGAGATTCTCCCAGCAGGAAACACTATCATCCAACTGAAGGCACTGCAGGGAAAATACTTTTGCTGAGCACATACTATGTGCCTGGCCATGACAGCCTGAGACGTTTAGACGGAGGTCATATGTGAGCCTGAGCACAGATAAAGTACGAGCAACACAGAACCAGTAGTAACTCAGCAGAAACTTGTGGATAGCCAGGCATGGTGGTGCATGCCTATAATCCCAGCACTCAGGAGCCTGAGGCAGGAGGATGTCCAAGACTTCAAAGCCAGCCTGGGCTACATAGCAAGACCCTGTCCCCTCCCCCCCAAAAAAAAAAGAAAAAAAGAAAGAAAAGAAAAAAGATTGGTGATAACCGATCCATGCCCTGCAGCCCCAACTAAATAGCAACACAATAGTCAGCACTGAATTCTCATCAAACCAAGGCTAGCATTAGAGGTCTGAATGGGTGGAAATTATTTCCCCTTCTCAAATGATTCTTTTCTGGTGTTCAGCCTGAGAATTCAGACACTAAAGGGGAGCACCGCAACCCTCTTCCCTGCATGGACTTTCTGTGCTCCGTCGAGCCAAGGGGAAATCGTGGAAAGAAAGGAAACCTCCTTAAAGATGGAAAAAGAAGGGCACTAGTTAAAGCCAAGCGCAGGAGGAGACCGTCAGAAAACCTGTGGCCCCATCTCCTTACTTCAGTGCAAGCAGATCTGGGGAGGAAAGCAGTTTATCTTCAAACTCACTTCTGGCAGGTGCAGTGCCACAAAGCTGTAATCCCAGCACCCAGGAGGCTGAGGCAAGAGGATGGCCCAGAGTGCCAGGACTACAACATAAGTTCAAGGCCAGCCTGAACATCATAGCATGACCCTGTGTCAAAAAACAAAACAAGAAGCCAGGCGTGGTGGCGCACGCCTGTAATCCCAGCACTAGGGAGACTGAGGCAGGAGGATCATTGCGAGTTCGAGACCAGCCTGGGCTACAAAGGGAGTTTAAGGCCAGCCTAAACTTCATAGCAAGACCCTGTCTCAAAAAGACAAAAATAAATAAATAAACATATTCCACGACCAACACTCCATCTCAACCAGCTTCAGGGCTGGGTGGAGCCACCCAAGCAGGTGCTAGCAGCTCACAGAAGAGCTTCTAGGAGGGAGGCCTGAGGCTCAGGATTCACCTCCACCTCCATGTGCCAGGCGACATCCTAGGAGGATGACCCACGACACAGGTCTTTCCAGACTTCCTAGACCTCTGAGGACTTGAGGTAGGACAAAAGAAATACAACCAGGTAGAAAGGCGACCAGCAAAAGGAAAATTTTAAATTGTACTTTTAAAGAAAAACAGCAGCTTGAGAACACAAGCCCGGCTTATTTACTTTTTCCCTTCTCAAACAGCAAACCTGGGCAAGCCCCTTTCAGCGGTGAACGGATCTGTCTGTTCCCTTTCACCTGCAAATTGCCCTTTTCCTGCAGCCTGGGAAGCAGCTCCGTTGCAGACAGCACGTCCTCTACCGCTATCGCCTTCGAGCCCCTGTGGACGGTTGCACTGTAACCTGGCAGACAGACTACACGTCCGAGCTCACCCATCCAGCCTTTAAATGTGTGCCCCACCCCGTGTGTCATGAGTGCGGGTCCTTTCCTCCAGCACCCGCACGTTGCTCTTGAGTGCGTCCTGCATCTCCCCCTAATAAATCCTTCTGGTGTCTCTTGAAGTCCTGAAAACTTTTTCTCCACGGCAGAGTCGGAGAACCTACATACTTAATCTATTTTTTGGAACCGGGAATCGAACTCGGGACCTTGTGCTTGCCAGGCAGGCGCTTATGCCGCTGAGCTATATCCCCAGCCCAAAATACTTAATTTAAACGGGCGGGTTAAGTTCCTTATTTCTGCTTATTTCCTCGGGGACCCTCAGACCCAGCAGGATGAGAGACACCTCTACTCCTCCTCGAATTCAGAGCCGCTGGAGATGGAACATTGCAGATTGTCGAGGGACAATCAATGGGGCAAACGACACAGGGCGGAGGAAGAACCCTCTGCTTCCCACCGGACCCACCTCCTGAGAATCCAGGGCCGACCAGGGACAGAGGCGCGCGCACACACATGCGCCCTTCCAGGCCCTGTGCCAGCTCCCCAGCGGCGACAGGCTGGCCCCCAAAGCCCAGTCTGCCGGTGCGGATCCTGGACAGGTGCAGGAACGCACAGCTTCACCACTGGCTTTGTCTTCCCCCAGGTAACCCCAACCCGAGGTCCCCAAGGCTTCAAGGAGCAGAAGCCACCATTCCGATGTCACCTCCAGTGTCACCCCCCGTCTACGCGCCCCCTTGCTCTCCCTAGTTGCACAAACTTTCCTTCCATCCAGGTCGAGTTTGGACCACATCCCCAGGCTTCAGACCAGCCACAGCCCGCCCCGGGCGTGGAGCGTGGGTGCGGCCGAGTCGTGCTGGGACAGCTCCACCGCGTCCCCGGCAGCCGTGCCGCAGCGAGTGTAGACCCCCTGCGAGTGTAGACCGCGCACGGGGAGGGGCGGCGCCAGGCTGCGAGTGGGGACGATCAGGACTGGGAGTCGACGTGGCGGGGAATGAATGAACACATGAACCAAGGCACGGCGGCAGTGTGGCGGAGGGGTGCAAGGGACCGGCAGGGAGGGGGGTGCGCGACCGACCCTTCGCTCCCTGGCTCGGACCCCTAGAAACCGCGTCCCAGGGGGACTCCTCGCAACCCCGGGTTAGATCTGGCTCGTAGCCCCTACTCGGGCCAGGAAGAGCCGCCCGCGGCCCCGGGCCGCACTGCCCGGCAGAGCCCCGCAGCCCCGGCGCCCGCAGCCCTTACCTGCCCGCTGCAGCCTCACTTGCCCGCCTCGGCCTCACTCAGGCTACGGGCTGCCCGCTCCCGGCCTCCTGGAGGCCCCGCCCCGAAAGTCCCGCCCCCAGCCGCCCATTGGCTACTCCTGAGGGGTGCACGCAGCCCATTGGTCGATCCTTCCTCCCCCCCCTGCACCGCCCAGCTTGGGCCCAAGTTCTGTGCAAATCTAAATGCAGGGTCTGCTGTGCTGCGAGATCGCGGAAGCCGGGCCCGGGTGTGCACCTGCTGGCCGCTCCCCGCCACCGGCGGGCCTGGGGTCCCCTTGAGCTCTTCCTCTTCCACCCTAGACTCGGAGCTCCGAGCCTCTGCTGGAACCGACTCTCCTCCGGCCCCGCCCAAAGCTGAGCTTCAGTGCCTCAATTTGTGACACCTGAAAGCAGCAGATTTTAAGACATGGAGGTGGAGGAGCATCTCCCTGACACCGGACCTGGACCGGACTCGTTTTGTCGGTAGGAATCCCAGGGAAATCTTGTGGCGGGAGCTGCGTCAGGGCTGAAGGCGGTTAGCCTGGGCCAGGCTGAGAACCTGGATCACAGGGCTCGGAAGTTTCCGTTTCCCAGCCTTGCGGCCCTTTCTCCCCCAACCAAATCACTTGTGGACCCTCCGGCACCACTGTTCTGGGGCAGAAGCTTCTCCGGTGCCCAGGAGATTCACCTTACTGCACCCTTAAGGGCCTCTGCTGGGAGACCAAACGGGAGGCTGAGACAGGAGGGTGGCCATGCGGAGGCCAGCCTGGGTAACAGAAAGACCTTGTCTCAAAAACACAAAGGCCAAGAGAGGATGCAGCTCAGTAGTAGAGCTCTTTCAAGCATGCATGCAGCTCTGGTCCCATCTCCAGTACCAGTGGGGTTAGGTGGCAGAGCTGGCTTGGAGGAGGGGTCCTCTATAAGAGGAACCTCCATCCCTGCCTTGTCCCATCTGTGGCTCAAACACGCCACACGCAGCCCTGGGAGCTTGTAAGCCAGCGGGCCCATCTCCCCAGGGAGCTGGAGGGGGTGAGCCACACCCCCCAGGCAGCCAGCTGCTGCCCCCTCAGATGGAGGGTAGGCAGGTGAGCTATATCTAAGGCTGCAGCTCGCACTGTGCGCAAGAGGCCGCCGTTGCCTTCACCTGCTCAGAGGGCAGGGTCCACCTCCCCCCCCCCCCCGAAAAGAGAAAGAGAGGCCACAGGAGCTTCAGCTGTTGTTTATTGACACACAGGTGGGCTCTATAGCAACAGGCCTGGAGGTGGCGGGCGGAGTGCGCGAGTGGAGTGCGGGTGCGCAGAACTGTGCACAGGTCGAGTGGGAGGCTGAGGCGATGGGGGGATCCGGAAGCAACTACTGTCCCGTGTCCTCAGCCCCCACTGGCCGCCACAGCTGGGGTCTCTGGGCATCCGCTTTCTAGAACTGCACAGGATACACGAAGGAGGCCACGTTGCTGCCTTCCTGCAACAAGCTCTGGGGGGCCTCCTTTCTCGAGGTCCCTTGCTGGGGTGGGGACACGTCCCAGGCCGCCGGCTCTGGGCCACTAATCACAGAGATGCAATCTTCGCAGGTGTCCCAGCTCACCAGTGCCGCACTACAGCCCGGAGTGAGCGCTACAAGCGTCGCTGGCCTAACGATGGGTTGGGGGCAGGGGGCAGGGGAGGGAGCCAGAGAAGGGCTCTAGGGCCATCACGGCACGGGCACGACACGCATGGTGTTGGTGAAGCCGGAGCCGGGGCGCCACCCGGTCAGCACGATGACCACATCTCCCGTCTTGAAGAAGCCTCGGGCCTTGCCTAGGGGAGAACAGAGGTGAGTGAGTAGGAGCCAGGCCGGGCAGAGGTAGGGGGCGGGTGGACGGACTGCGCACTGCTGCTTCGCACCGCAAGGTGGCGCCAGCCTCGCAGCCCAGGCAAAGCTGACGCCGGTGCGATCTCAGGTGGCTCAGCCCGATAGGACCTTTGCTATCTTTCAGCGCTACCCTGGAGAGCTGGGAGCTCAAGGTCAGAGCTAGCTGTTGCCTCTCACCCCTTGCTTGACCTCTACCTTACTCAGAGACAAAAGCCACATCAGCGAGAGGGTTTTGAAAAGACTTCTGCAGCGAGGGCAGGAGTGGTCACTCGGCCCCTGGCCCCTTGCACAACCCCCCTTCTATTCCCCACTCTCAGGGTCCCATTAGAACCAGGGCCACGCCACCCGACCCCCGTCTAGCCAGTCTCCCAGCCACGCACCGACATTCATGGCCAAGTTCACGCGCAGGTCCACGTCCTCAGCCCAGGCCTGCTGCACAGCGTCCTTGCACAGCACGGGAAAGATGCCGCGGTACAGGTGGGCCTGGCGCGCCGTCTGGGGATTGCGGGTCACAGCGATGATAGGGGCCCGGGGTCGGTACCGCGCCACCTGGTGGGCAGACCTGAGAAGGGATAGGACAGGAAAAAGATTTTAAAAGGCACCCCAAGAATCTCTTAGGAAACACAGGTGGGCCTCACGCAGTAGCACACCCTCCCATCAGCTCACTGGGCTGCCCTGAGGGCTCTGGCCACCAGCATCTCTTCCACTGGCTGGGTCACCCTGACTCACCCACTTACCCCACATGACCCCAGGCTGGCAGAATCCTGCCCACTCCACACCTGGCAGGGACCAGCAGCTCTGGCCCAGGCCCTCTGGCTCTGCTACTGACAGCTACAAGTCAAGCAGCGTGAGAACAGCAACTGACATGAGCAGAAAATGGGCGCAGAGCCAGGGGCTCCCCCAGCCCCACCTCGGAAGCAGCACCAGGGGGCTTCTTGATTGTATCCCCTCCCTATCCAAATGGGTCCCAGCAGCTGAACTCTAGAGTCCCAGAGTCAAACCCAAGTATCAAGAGAAACTTTTCTTTGTTCTTTTTCTTTTTTTGGTCTTTTTGAGACAGGGTTTCGCCATGCAGTTCAGGCTGACCTTGAGCTCACTTGGTAGCCCAAGCTGGTCTCAAACTTGCAATGATCCTGCTGCCTCAGCCTCCCAAGGGCTGGGATTATAGGTGTGCGCTACCATGCCTGCCTTGAAACTTCTTTTTTGAGACAGTCTTGCTATGTAATTCACACTGCCCTCAAACTTACAGCAGCGCTCCTGCCTCAGCCTCCCAAGTGTGGGCATCACACGTGTGCATCACCACAACCGAAGATCAAAGGAAATCCCAGGCCTCCCTGCTAAGGTTTTAGACACCTGGGTGCTCCCCAGGAGGCAGCAGACCCAGGCGTGGCAGGTGGGAGGCTGCACACTTGCAGCCGCACATGCCACAGCAGTTGGCGGGTAGCTTACAGGACAGCCAGGCCCCAGCAGGCAAGCTCTGAGCACACGCGACAGGTGTCAGGGAAACAACTTTGGCACAGCAGAGAAGGCTCTGCCTTGGGCTTCTCCACACACACGGCCTTCAGGGAGGCAGCTGCTGAAGTCAGGACCAGCTGAGCGAAATCCCAGACCAGAGCTCAAAATAGCCAAAGGGCAAGGGTGGGAGCTCCGGAAAGGTCACTCCTGACGACTAGCACTCTAGCCAGGGTGGGCATGGGCCTCAGTCCCCACACTTCGGGGAGCGCCCCGCCACTTGGCCCATGGCACTGCCCCCTCACCCCACACTATCTCCCAGTAGCCCCTGGGGAGCTCGCTCCAGACTGCTGAGAGATGGAAGTCCATGTCCCAGGCTAGGAAGAGACCTCAACTTAAGGTCACCGGGCCACATGGCCCTCGGCCTGGCTGCGTGGCCCAGAGAATGGCAGCAAGGTAACACTGCCTTATTCCGCAACCACAGACCACTCGGTCTTTGCAGCTCAGTCCGCTAGGGCCGACCTGCCAGAGGGGTACCCTGGGAACACCACTGATTTCCAACCCAGACTGTTAAAAAAAGCAGTTAGTAACCAGATAAGCAAAGCGTGTTGCCTTCTCCTCATTTGGTTTTGTGACAGGCTCTCAGCAGATAGTCCAGGCTGGCCTTACATTTGTGACACTCCTGCCTCTGGTGCTGGGGTCACAGATGTGGCCACCAAACCCAGGGTCTTTTGCCCTTTTGGTTCTTTTTTTCCGTACTGGGAATTGAACTCAGGACCTTGTGCTTGCCAGGCAGGTGCTCGTGTCGCTGAGCTATATCCCCGGCCCTTGCCCTTTTGGAAGGACAGCTCCTAAACGGGGAGTGACATCTGTGCCTGATGCTGGAGGCCCATTCATCCACGGCGGGGCTGGGAACTTCCCAGGATCCACAAGGCCTAACGCATCTGTGGGCACCGCTGTGTCCCCTGTGTCAAGTGGCAGCCAGAGGGGTCTTACCTCGGCTAGGCGCCACTGAGCACCGCTCTGCGGACCCGGGGAAGCCCTGCCGCCTCCTACCTGCCGGACTTGGTGAGCACGATTATGGCCCCGCTGCAGCACTTGAAGGAGGCCTCCACGGCACCCACGGCGGCGGCTTCTGTGGGGTCGCTGGTAATGGGGGCCAGGCGGCGCAGCTCCTCAAATAATTGTAAGTGGTAGATGGCAGCCTCTGCCTCTCGGGCAATCTAGGGGAGCAACATCCGTCCGCAGGGACGAGGGGGGACAGAGCCTCATCAGAGCCTTATCACAGGGGAGGGGCAGGGAGGCAGGAGTCACAGGTGGCTGGTAAGGAGCGTGTCCCTGCACAGCAAGATGGCGCCACAGGACCCGTCCTTCACCAGGGGGCTGTGACATCCGCTGAGCCTACTGAGCCACAGGACCTTGGGTCCACCCTATTGTGACCTCCCTGGCGGCAGCTGGCGCAAGAAGCTGGTCATCCTACAGCCGACACCTGCCCTCAGGGCCCTACCTGCCGGACTCCGTGAGCACTATCAAAGCTGCCGCTAAACATTTATAAGAGGCCTGCACGCTGCCCATGGCCATGGCCTCCATGGGGTCCTGGGAGTGACCGGAGGAGGCTCGCACAAGTTCTTCAAACAGCTTGCGGTGGAACATGGCTGCCTCAGCCTCCCGAGCTATCTGTAAGGTTAGGGAATGGGGGAGGGGGGCAAGGAAGAGGGAAGAGGAGGAAAAAACACGAGAGAGACAAGACACGGAAAGACAGAATGGGGAATTAATCAGAGAGGAAGATCTCAGGTTAAATCTGTCCTCCAGGCAGACGCAGAGGCAGCGTGGCAAAGTTTACCTGCACTGGGAAGTGTGGGCAGTCTCAGGCTTCAACTAATGGTACTTCCCCTGCAATTTGGGGGAAAATGGGTCTTCCGCTCTGGAAGGATTTTTTTGTACCAAGAGTCAAACTCAGGACCTTGCACCTGCCAGGGAGGTGCTGTGCTGCTGAACTATATTCCTGCCCCCTACCCTGAAAGACAGTCACTGTCTTGCTAGTTGTGCAGGCTGGCCTTGAACTTGCAGTCTTCCTGCCTCTGCCTCCCAAGTAGCTGGGATAGTTAGAAATTTTTTTTTGATTGGAGCAGAGGGTGGAAGAAGACAATATGGCGGCATGCCAGGACAGGCCCACATCACACCCTGGAGCAGGACTTGACCACGCTGCCTTATAACAAAGCTCACACGAAGGAGCAGGCCCTGCCCCGCCACATGGCTGTCTAGGTGCTGCATGGCTGCCAGCAGGGGGAGCTACTGCCTCTCTACTCGCCAGCCATGCGAACAGCGGAGTGACCTGCAAGCCAAGGCTCCGCAGCCTGCAGGGGCCCTCAGCAGCCATGGGAAGAGACAGATGCCTGCAGCCGCCACGTTTAGCAAGACCTTGATTGTGATCATGATTACACAGGCACAGGACAGCGAGTTATTCACACAGGTAACTGGTCAGATTCGAGCTAGAATTAGCCAAAAGGAGGAGCCTCATCAGAGATTAGAAGGAGACCCGTGTGTCTCAGAGAGGGCAGGTCAGTGAGAACAGGTCAGGGGTCGCAAGCAGGGGTGGGGCGGGACTTCCTGGTTACAGCGTTCCTGCTGTAGACCAGAATGCAAGCACAGCCAGGGGACAGCAGGACGCAGAACCACAGCTTGTACTGCTCAGCTCTTGGTTACTGTTAGACACAGGAGAGAGCAGCCCAAGTTAAGGGACAGAGAGGCCGCTGTCGGCCAGTGTTAATGGATGACAGACAGGACAGGCCTGACTACATGGGGGCAGCTACAGCCCGGCAGACCCGTGACTCATCTTGTGCGCAGAGCCATGCAATCCCAGCCTCGCACTTCTAAGGTGTCTGTTCAGAGCACAGAACAGGCCGGGGAAGAAAGGACGAGGAACTGAGCTGCCAGAGCTGCCGCTCAGGCTCTGGCCTCATGACAGAGCCCTCGAGGAGACTGTCGCCTCGCCGACTGGGCTCACACCCGGGCTTCCCAGCATGGAACGCTACCAATAAACTTAGGTAGTGGCAGTTACGAAGATCACGCTGGGGTGCACGGGGACTCAGGTGCCCCTCGATCACAATAGTATTTGCTAAGGCTCTCATTAAATATATCTCCTCTGATCCACCTTAGGATGAGGTCTTGATGTAAGTGACGCCCCAGGGACACACAAAGTCTATGTGGCTCGTGGCTCGACAGATCAGGTCAGGGTGAGCTCTGCTCATCAGGGGAAAGCAGGTCCCACAACTGAGCCGAGCAATCAGAGGGGGAATCCTGGGGAGACCGAAAGGCAGGTGCTAGAGGTGACTGGCTGAAGTGACAAGCGTCCAGGGAGAGAGGTGCCTTCCTGCTCCCAGGCAGCTCAGAGGCCAGGCCAGGCCAGGCCAGCGCTCATGGCTCTGTCCCGGGACACTGTCAGCCGGGCTCAGCCACACAAACGTCCCTGAGGAAGGGAAGGGAAGGGTCTCTGCCAATTTCAGTCCCAGGAAACCCAGCAGAGATGCTGATGACAGCCCTGGGGATGGAGTTGGACAGGGTCACATGGTTTTCCACTGGAACCTGCTTCAGCCCAGAACACATGGACACAGAAGGAGGGAAGGACACCTCACTACTCAGAGCTCTTTTTTGCTTTTTTTGAGGGGGTGGTGGTGTGTTTTTAAACGAGGGCCTGGGGGAACTAGGTCACAGAGGATGAGAATCGGTAGTCACCCAGAGGAGGAGTGGAAAGGCCGGGGAAATAAAAGCCATGTCGGAACCAGGGCAGGTTCACCAGGCTGAGTGCTAGGACTGACCTAGAGCCACCAGGAGGAAGGGCCCTTGCAGAACTCATTTCTTTTGCAGACAGGGCAGCCCTGAAACTCACTCCTGAGTTAACACTTCAGGAAGCTCTGGGGCAGAACACAGGGCAGAGAAACTGGGCCTGACAGAGGGTGGCAGACACAGGGACACCGCTGAGCGAGAGTCCTGAAGAACTCGGTCCCACTGGGCTCCACG